ATATTAGGGGTTAAAGTATGAAATTGCCGTTTTATTGCAATAGGTTCTTTGAATTTTCATAGAATCTTCATGGTTTGAGGTTTTCGAATGAAACTTTTTTCAAATGGTTTCTGTGATTTTTTTTTTTTAAATTTGAAACATTTGAATATCGACTTTCAATTGTTTTTGTTATTCAATTTAGACAAGAAATATGGATACTGCGAAAATTCGAGTGATTTTTGAATACGAGTTCCGACGCGGAACTAACGCGGCAGAAACAGCCCGCAATATCAATGCTGCGTTTGGAGAGGGGTCTACTAATGAACGCACCGTGCGATTTTGGTTTAAACGCTTTCGTGATGGAAATTTCGACTTAAAGAACGAGCCACGAGGAAGACCGCCCACACAGGTGAATAACGATGAATTAAGAGAGATAGTGGAAGCCGATCCTAGTCAAACTACCCAGGAATTAGCGGCATGGTTTAACGTTACCTTACCCACAATATTGACTCACTTGCGTCAAATCAATAAAATAAAAAAATACGAAAAATGGGTGCCTCATGATTTGACTGATCTGCAGAAAGAAACGCGTGTTGAAACTTGTGTTGCCTTGTTGAACCGGTACAGAAATGAAGGAATATTGGATCGAATTGTAACATGTGATGAAAAGTGGATTCTTTATGATAACCGGAAAAGAAAAATGCAATGGCTGACCCCAGGTCAAATGCCACAACAGTGTCCTAAAGCAAAACTTACCAATAAAAAGGTAATGGTAACTGTTTGGTGGTCTCAGCATGGTGTTATTCACTATAGTTTTCTCCGATCTGGTCAAGCAATAACGGCAGATGTCTATTGTGCCGAACTCCGAACCGTGTTGACAAAACTAGCAGTAAAACAGCCCCGACTCATGAATCGACCTTCACCATTATTGCTCCACGACAACGCGAGACCTCACACAGCACGAGAAACCATTTTGACCCTTCAGGAACTGCAGTTAGAAACCATTCGTCATCCTCCGTATTCACCAGACCTTGCTCCAACGGACTACCATTTTTTTCGTGATTTGGACAATTATCTACGTGACAAGAAGTTTTCTTCCCAGGAGGCAGTACAAAATGCTTTCACACAGTTTGTGCAGTCTAGATCGTCGGAGTTCTATCGCAAAGGCATTAATAACCTTCCCATTAGATGGCAGCAATGTATAGATAATAATAGCAACTATTTTGATTAAATAAATTTGTTAAAAATTTAAAAAATAAACAATTTAGATTTTCAGTACAAATCGGCAATTTCATACTTTAACCCCTATTATTATTATTCTTAGGATGACTTCATTCGGGGCATATGTAGCCCCTCATCACTGCGACCATCAGCTGATTTATTGTGATCACCACTATGAATTCGGAGCCAAGGCCAATAGCATTGAAGAACTGAAGGACTTTCCTGGCTCCGACAGATTTTATGTCTTCTGGTTGTGGCATGTGCCTTCCCAGTATGGAGCTTTTTTACGCCCATCACGGGTAAGCATTGGGTGAGAAGATGAATAGGAGTTTCATCCGCTTCGTGGCAGAATTTACACTCTCTATTCTCTCTCTGTCTAATATTTGGTATGTGCTTGTTCAAGGCACCGTGTCCTGTTAAGACTCTAGTGAGCTTTCTGATGCCATTCCTGTCCAAGGACAGAGCGTCTCTACAGTGTTTGGTACTATAGCCAGCTATCAACGTCCTGATTTTGATTGGGTAGTCTCGAAATCGGATGGGTTTCTGAGCGAGAAAATGAACCTGATTCCCACTATATCTTTCTAATTCGTGAGTTAAATCAACTATTGTTCCGATTAGAAATGTCAAAAGTTTCCGATCGGCCAGTTGTGAATCGCAATTATGCGTCTCGCCTCGGAAAAGACGCAGTTTCCGATCGGGAGAGGCAATCAAAATCAAACTGCTGGGCTTTTGAATGCTCTAGACTTGCTCTGTAGACACACTTCTCGGGAGACGTGTGTGCTCCCGTTCAGCAGAGTGAGCTTTGCTAAGCTGAATACTATCCCTATAAAGGGTTCGGGTCCAATAAAGGTTTCCCGAGCACCAGCACCAGACATCAGAAGTCATTCCCAGAACAGGGTGTTCCAGAATTAAGTCCTGGGTTGATTTCAATGTCTGTAAGAGCCATCTAGTGTTTAACTTGGTGGAGAGTCTGTACCGGCCTCCTGATGTATAAATATTTGCGGGGGAGTCAGATCCAGCAACGCATTGAGGGCCGCCCCCGGTGTAGTGGACATGGCTCCTGTTATTAGCAGGCCGCGATGCGCTGTAGACTGCTCAATATGGCAATAGTGGTTGTTTGGCTGACTTAAGCACTCCAAACAGGAGAGGCATATTATTATGTCACTTACTTACTATTGCCTCGTATAACCAGAGAGTCGTCTTTGGATTTAGACCCCAACGCTGTCCCGCCATACGACTAAAGATACCTAAGGCCATCTTGGCCTTGTTAACCATGTTACCTATATGGCAGTTCCACCTTAGGGTTTGATGTAGGGTTATCCTTAGATATTGAAATTCTTCGGAAAAACCCGCAGTCCTGCCACCAAGGATCGGTTCCTAGTGGCCTGGTTAGTTCCCACTTCCTAGTGAAGGGGACAATGGTTGTCTTCCGCATTATTAGATAATTCGTTATCTTGACACCAAACGGAAATTGTGTCAAGAGCTCTTTGCGTGATTGATGGTACAGTGCTTTGGCAGTGCCCTCGAACTGTGATCACTGGGTCATCCGCATATCTCTGAGCGTCATATTCAGTTCGGCCAACCTATATAGGAGCTGATACACAGGAGAAGAGAAATTACCCCACTTTGCGGGCAGCCCCTTCCTGTGGAGACCACAAGCTGGTGCCTGTGTAAAGAGATATCGGCTCTGCGGTTTCAAAGCGTGTTTTGCACCCATCGCGTAGTAGAAGTCTACAGGTTAGTCCCTTCACCAGAGTACAAATGGGTGTATTGTCAAAAGCACCCTCAATATCTATGAAAGGCACACAGTACTATTTGTTTATTTGTTCAAACACTCTATCAACCACAAGGTGGAATAGGGTAGTTTCTGTGGATTTTCCACTTTGATAGGTGTGTTGAGTGTAATGGACAGGACTATATTATATTAGGTTTAAAGGCCTAATCTGATTATTAAGTGCCTTCTCCATTACTTTTAGCATAAATGAGGTAAGGCCGATTGGTCTAAAGGCCTTTGCTAGAAAGTAGTCCTTTCTGCCTACCTTTGGTATGAATACAACTTTACACGATGTCCATTGCAACAGTATGTGACCCCAAGCGAGAGGCTCTGTATATCTTGACAAGGTATGGCAAGAGTACACTTATGCCACTGCTGCAGTAAAATGGGAGTAATACTGTCCTCACCTGGGGATTTATACGATTTAAACGAGGTTTTAGCCCAAGCCACTTGTCGGTGTCAAATTATGCTGGAAGCTCTATTCAGGTCCTCATTGCGAGGTGTATGTAGAGTTGTGAGTGGGCTAGTGGGCAAGTTACACAAGGTCCACGCAAAGTGGGTTGAAATTAAAAGCCTAAGGGATTCTGTGTACCTTGAGGAGCACCTGCTATTTCCTCACAAAACCGCCTCCACAACAATCGCTTGGTTTTCCTTATCTCCTTGTTATAGTTAGTTAGGGCCGTCCTATAAGTCTCCCATTTCTTCGCTGGCTTGGCCCTATTAAAGAGTTTTCAAGTTTTCTCTCGAGTGGCACTGCAACTGTTACGGTATAGGCATGTCGCTTACCACCATTCTTACAACTTGTCCTGTTGCTTGGTATTATAAAGGGGTGTGTTAGTTGTTCCACCTCCACGTGTGCGAAGTCTTTGAGCAGTCTGTGGTAACTTGTTACACAAAACGCCCAAGGATGTAGCCGGTACACCCTGGGGCCAACACTGACAATCCTCGGCTTCAGTTTGAGAATTGTCAGTGAGGGCGCGAAGCGATCAACACGGCCCGGCCATGCGTTTCTGGGGGTGGACCATGGCACGTGGTGGGCAGTCTAAACTTACACCCTCCTGCGTTAATGCCTACGCAGTTGAGCGCCGTACGCAGGGATGAAGGAATCCTGGGGGGTCGAGCTCGAGCGGGGTGGGGACTCCGGCAAGCAATACGCCCCTTTTGGCCCTGATTTCCTGCTAAACGGTAGCCCTGTGATTAGCCAGCACAGGGAAATGGCATTGTGTCCCGTCCGAGGGGACTCAGCCATGCTGACGGGGTGAGTATGTGTGGAACACAGCCAGCCGCACATTTCGAGCCCCCGATGTCGCGCAGTGAGCTCCCAACTCCTGCGCCTACACTCACCTGACAATCCTGGTGTCCCGAATGGGACATCCCCAAAGGTGCAAAAGGAAGAGAGTAGGCCTTGACGAGACCATATCTCCTAGAGGCGAACACAAGCGGCAAAAGATTGAGAGGCCCGCCCAGGAACGCACCTACGCCGAGGCCACCAGGCCCGAACTCATGGCGGTCATTACTTCAGCCAAAACTGGCTACATACGGATCCCCGAGGCCGACATGGTTCAGATGGCCCTATGTCAGCGCCTCGCGCAAGGAGCGGAGGAGTGCAGCGAGGAGGACGTCGGCCCACAGTTTCGTGGTAAACCTGTCTACAGTGACGGGTCCCTGAAACTGTGGTGTCAGGACACAGCCACCTTCCAGTGGCTAGAGGATGCCATTAGCACCATCAGGCTGCCATCCGGGGAGCCCCTCTCATTGAAAAATGTGGTGGAGGCTCCCCGGAGGGTGGTCTGCGGACTACTCATCCCTGGTCACTGGGAGGATGCGCGTCGAATCGGCCGCATCCTCAAGTGGCAAAACCCGTGGGCACACCGCTGGGTTGTTCACAAGCTGCAGCAGCATAGTGACAACTCCTTCGTAGTGGTGAGCCTCCCAGAAGAACTCGTCCCCGCTGTCCTGGGGCATGGCCGGCGCCTAACCTTCCAGTTGGGCACGGTCTACCTCAGGTTAGATCAAAGAGGGGCCTGTACACCGATGTGCCACCCGAGAAGACGGGCACAACAGCGACGTGGATGGACGTCTCCCCGGAGCCCTCCACCTCCTCCGATAACCCCGGAGAAGGTGAAGGGCCCTCCTTGACCCACGTCTCTGCGGACGCCGCTGTCAAACCGGTGGCGACCAGCAGTGACGACGAGTGCGTGTTGGGGATGGGAGACATCCGACTGAGCGAGGACGTGGACGAGGAGCTGCTATCTTCTGATGGCGGTTTCCCCCTCGCTCAGTAAACTTCACATCGTCCAGAGCAACCTCCACAAATAAATGGACTCTCACATCAGAGAGGTAAGCTACTATCGACTACCATCTCAGATAAACCTAGAACTTGCATATATTACTCCAAGAACTTACATGTACAGCCACTAACTGAATTCTGTTACAGAGACCTGTGTGCCGTAAAGCTTTTAGCTGACGCCGCCACGGGTCTGCCTGAAGTGGTGCTCGCCTCTGTCTATATGGCGGAGACTGATGTGCCACCACCGCAGGAAATGGTACAGCTAATCAACTACTGCGAGCAGAACGGCCAGAATATCATCGTGACTACTGACTCCAATGCCCACCATCCGTTGTGGGGCATGGAACTCGCAAATGATAGAGGTAAGAACCTAACAGAATACTTATTCACAACTACCCTCAAATCATTAATAAAGGTATAGTACCAACTTTTATAAATAAAAGATGTAAAACTATTATAGACCTAACCCTAACATCAGAAGGAGCAGTGGACCTTATCCACAACTGGCACGTGTCCGAAGAAGCATCTTTCTCGGACCACAGATGGATAAGATTCAGCTTAGAAACAACCATTAAAGAACAACAACCGAAACGAAATCCCAGGAAAACCGATCGTAAACTGTACACGGACAAACTACACCAGAACCTGGGAGAACCGGGAGCATCGGTAAGACTGTTGGACACAGCACAGATAGAAACACAGGTTAAAGAACTAACATCAAACATATTAACTGCCTCTGTGGCCGAACGGTTACCATGCCAGACTGCCACGCAGAGGTCCCAGGTTCGATTCCCGGGCCGGGAGAAATATTTGTATGGCCTACATTTATTTCTCTCGTGAGTTTGGGTGTAATTTGTGGTTGTCTATGTGTGTGTCCATGGCACCCGCGACACAGGGTTTCCCTAGTGCGGTTGAGTGTGAGCGTTATTATTATTATTATTATTATTATTGAATAGCTATAACTCCGCATGCAAACTGAGTGACGCAGCTCCGCGACAAGGCCAACACTGGTGGGGGCCTGAGCTTGAGAGGCTACGAAGAAGGGTAAGGAGACACTTCAATAGAGCAATGAACACATGCGCGGATGAGGACTGGGAAAACTACAAGACGGCCAAATCCAAATTAAAAAAGCGCATACGGTTCAGGAGCACCGCGTCATGGCGAGGCTACTGCGGGAACATCACGTCTTGTGCACAAGCAAACAGAATAAGGAAAGTTTTAGGCAACTCGAATTCAACTGAGCTAGGTTCAATACGCAAAATAGATAACACATACACAACTTCCCCTGTGGAAACGGAAAGAACCCTACTGGAAGTACATTTCTCAGGATGTAGGTTCGTCCAAGGCGACAGGTGCGTAGAAATGAACTACACCACATCGATCCATAACTGGCGATACGCAGAACAAGTAGTGACATACGAAAAGACAAAATGGGCAGTAAACACCTTTGAACCATACAAAGCTCCGGGCCAAGATGAAGTATTCTCTGCACTCCTACAATGGGGCGGGGACACACTGGTCCAGCACCTGGTCAACATCTTTCGGGCCTGTCTAGCATTCAGCTATGTGCCCCACAGCTGGCGAGAGGTAAAAGTCATATTTATACTGAAACCAGGAAAGCCCGACTACACTGACGCGAAGTCCTTCAGACCAATCAGCCTCACATCAGCCCAACATGCATACAGCCAAGGCAAATCCACTGAATCAGCCCTAAATGCCGTTGTGGGCAAGATAGAAGTGGCCCTTAAAGACAAAGCAATCTGCCTAGGCACCTTTATAGATATTGAAGGAGCCTTCGATAAAACCAACTTCTCCAGCATACAATCAGCAATGAGAAGACACAAAGTAGATGAAGTGCTAATTAGCTGGATTAGCAACATGCTGAAACAAAGAACAATAAAAACAACAGCAAATGAGACCCCATGGGCCATAGTAGCGAAGAGGTGCCCTCAACGAGGAGTACTGTCGCCTCTGCTGTGGAACATGGTCGTAAATGACCTTATCATTAAACTCAACAAAGAACATTTCTATACAGTAGGATATGCTGATGACATAGCTATACTAGTAACAGGAAACTATGCCAACACACTCTGCGACATTACACAAGCTGCTCTCCGAATTGTGGAAAGATGGCGCAGATCATATGAACTATCGGTAAACCCAACAAAGACGGAACTAGTAATGTTTACAAACAAACGACTACTAGGTAACTACCGATTACCCAAACTCTTCAGCACAGAACTACAGATATCAACCGAAGTCAAGTACTTGGGAGTAATACTGGACAACAAGTTGTACTGGAACAAACATCTGGACAACAAAATTAAAAACGTTACTATCACCTTCTGGCAGTGCCATAGAATGGTGGGTAAACAATGGGGACTTTCACCCAAGATAATACTATGGCTCTACACTGCGGTGATAAGACCCATGATCAGTTACGGCGCGATAGTATGGTGGCCACGAACCAAGCTGACGACCGCAACCGACAAGCTGGACAAATTCTCGCAAAGACTCGCTTGCATGGCGACGACCGGCTGCATGAGGACAACTCCAACCGCGGCCCTCGAAGCGATGCTGGACCTTCGACCCCTCCCACTGTTCATCAGACAGGAAGCGGCGTCAACAGCAGTGCGTCTAAACACAGCCGGCACATGAGGACCCCACATACAGAAATCCTTTACAAGACTGTCAATGAGGAACCGCTACTGGAGGCGGTTGTGGATAGGATCCCAAAACAATACATCTTTGACAAAAAATACAAGATACAATTATTTGAAGATCCCAACGAAGGACTGAACCCCAGAGAGAACCGAGTCTTCACTGATGGATCTAAAACAAACTAAGGAACAGGTACTGGGGTATTCTCAGAAGACCTTAATATCAGGATATCAGCACCGCTTGGTGACCACAACACAGTATTCCAGGCTGAATGCATGGGCATCAAGTTGGCGGCAGAAGCAATCATAGTAAGAAGAGTAAAGAACTACTCCATTTCAATACCCTCCGACAGTATGTCAGTACTTCAAGCACTGAATAATAATAATAATAATAATAACGCACACACTCAACATAGCCCCGCACTAGGGAAACCCTGTGTCGCGGGTGCCATGGACACACACATAGACAACCACAAATTACACCCAAACTCACGAGAGAAATAAAGATAAAGATAAAGATAAATTTATTTCTGTATAAAATATTAACCTAAATACATACATGAATCTTATTAAATAACCCATTATTTACATATATGCGCCAAATTGTCGCAAACAATGAAATTATTTTATGTTTACATTACTTTAATTAAGGTTAGTAGTGCAAATTAATCTAGGTGATACCTAAACTAAGTAAAATTGTTTACTTGTGTCTTAGGTATCTAAATTGGTGATTATAGCATAACGGTTAGTCAACATATTTTGTTCAATAACAATAAATTACAATAATACATAAATCTTAATTATAATAGCTGGCGTCTTAATTATATTTATATTACTTAAAAACTGATATAAAATTTTCAGTGTCATTGTAGTTAATTCTTTTTAACCATTCTTGTACGGTTTTTTTACATTGAAACTTATTCATAGGATATATAGATAGAGAACGATTTATTTTATTATACAAATAGCTACCAAGAAAGCAAAAGAATCTGTGGGAGTGTTCTGTTCGAAACCGTTCAGTTGAACAAACAATGTCTGCTCGTCTTTTGCTGGTTTGGAGTGATGGGATATATGGTGTTAGTGAATGCTTTTTTATTACGGTTAGTAGTATCATGGACCAATAACCCAAGAGGACTGCTAATCTCCATATTAAAAATCGTAGCTCTGAAAAAGGTCAAAATTCCGTCTTATTTCTAGATGGCGCTGATCGATAGCCTGGAATTAGTTTATATTTACGTAAATAGCCATGGATATCGATTAACTCCTCTTTTATAGGAAATATAGTAGATATTCTATTTTTCTTGTAATGTTTTTCAAATATTTAGTAATAAACTAAAATTATTCTCTGAACTTCGATATTTATGCGTATCAATAGATGGCATTGTTCGTTGTTAACTAATTAATAACGTAACGCTTGCGAATATAGTTAGATGGCGCAAATCCTAAACAAAATAAAAGAATACTTGGAAGTATCTATAAAAATCTGAGCAATATAGTATAACCTAAAGGAAGTCTAAATTGTCATCCGTTTGCGGTGGCGCACAGTGGGCCCAAATTGATAATTCTTGGACATAGGAATAACTTGTGGAGTATCGAGCTAATTTTTATATGTGATAGACAATAACACTCCTAACAACTTTTATTCTTGTATGATTTCTTGAAAAGTTGATAATTTCAGAGAAAAAAAATATAATTTTTTTTGTGGAGAAATATACATTTTGTTCTTTATCTCAAAATATACGAAAATGTAGTGTGCGTGGGTTACTTACAGTATAGTTCCAATCATTTTCTATGTAGAAAAAAATAATCCGTCTGCATGTACTTGCGTCTTTGAAAGTAGAGGTGCGGCAAAATTGCTAACTCTTTTATGTACTTTTTTAACAAAATACATGAGCTTCGACTAAAGAAAATTTAATTTTAGTGCTAAATTACACAGAGCGTTATAACAATAACACGAAAGTTAAGTAGAAACTAGTATATTGTGTTTTATTTTTTAATAAATAACAAATCTAACATTTTGACATCTTTTTACTCGTAAAGCCGCAAGTACCTGCTGATGGATTGTTTTTTCTTGATAGAGAATGATTGGACTTATACTGTAAATAAAGCACACATTACATTTTTCTACAATTCGAGATAAAAAATAAAATGTTTATTTCTCCAAACAAAAAAAAAAACTAAAATTTTTTTTCAGAAACAATCAGCTTTCCAAGAAATTACATAACAATAAAAGTTATCAGGAATATTATTATGTATCATGTGAAAAAAATCAGCTCTGTATTCCTAAAATTGTATCATGATTAAATAATTATTTAGCCTAAAATTTATACTTTTTATTTCCGTTATTTTTAATTACCTTCAGATTAATTTATACTGGGTTGTTGGACTTTATGCACTGTTTGTAATGGATGACATATTACACACAGATTACACGAAGCTCATGTATTTTGTTAAAAAAGTACATAAAAGAGTTAGCAATTTTGCCGCACCTTT